AGATTCATTCGTTCATTCAGTCATTCCTTCTCGGAGATACACTTTCTGCTCCACTCCGGACTGCTTGTTCCTGCTATTTTATTCTGAACTTCTCTTTATCATCCTTGGGAATTCCCTTTGCCTTTCTGTTTCCTGGATCCCATACCTTCCTCTTTCTTGGCTTATTTCTTTATTCCAGTGGCCCCTAAATTAATCCTGCTTGGGATTTGTTTATTTTTTATTCTTTCACTCTGCCTGCAACCTGTACGTGCTACACTCTAGCAAGCTCATCTTCTAGTCCACATTTTTCTGCCCTCTAACTTAAACTAACACCCCCTTCACAGCTTCTAACAACTAGTGCTTAACTAAAACAAATCAGCATACCCCCAGTGAAGTTCCTCATTAATGGCATAGAGTAAACTGAAATGCCAAGTAACACTACAGGTCAGACACACAAGATTCATAGTTACACTTATTGCTTTTAGAGTCTCAGCCATGGTCATCCTGGCAACTGCCAATGTGACAGTGGCATCTATTACTAAGCCAATACAAACAGCTGCTTTTAGAAATAATCTGGCCAAAAATATGGAAAGGTGTGCAAGATTATCTCTCCTGGTGAGACCCCCATTCCTGGGAGTTGCTCTTTGACTAGAAAAGACTGTTGCTAATTGTACTCATAGTTGTCCTGTTATTTGTTAATCCTAGGATGCAAAGCTGGAATAAAAGAAAGGACTGCCTCCCCGGCAGACCCTTAGCTGAAGGAATCAGTGCCTGGCAGACAGCAAAGCATGATGTTGTTGAAAAGAAAAAGGGGGAGATGTTGATATTCACTTGGGGTGGCTGGCAAAACATTAAATATTAGGAAAAGTTATAGATTGTAATCTCAAACCTTTTGGAAGTCCAAAAAATTTTATTGAGGCATGCTGAAAGCAGCCAGCTCACTAACATTAGCATAGGAAAGAGATAGAGGCAATCAAAGGCCTTCCCAGTTTAAGTCGTTTACCCCACATCCCTTTGTCTCCACTCTTAACTATTTACTCATGTAAGTTTTGTGGTGGGTGGTCTTCTCAGGGGACTATCAAAGGGAAATCACTGTTAACAGGGCTGCAGCGCACTAGGACTGCTATGGCGCCTGGTGGCTGCCAAGACAAACCCACACAGGGAGGTCCTGGGCCTTGGAGGAGGCGTAGGCAACCAGGAAAGGGAAAAAAAGTCAGGGGACAGTTGGGGAGTGTTGGGACAAGTGGGGAAAAACTTGAAAAAGGTGAAAAGGCAAAAGCCTCCAGCCTCAGTCTTTCCAGGCAGTTCCCCATCCAAGCCCCTGCCAGGCCCCACCCTGATTAGCTTCTGATCCCCTGCCTGCAGGCATTCTCCTGGCAGCCCCAGATCTCTTTGTAGGGGTTTGTCCTGGCAGGCCCCATGGGCCATAGCAGCCTGTGGGTGCTTGGGCTTGGAAGATAAGCAGGGTTAGGCTTGACTTATGCTTGGATGGGGAAACTGAGATGCCTGGGGAGACTGGGTCTGGAAGCTTTTGGCTTCCTGCTCTTTTCCTGCTTTTCCCTGCTCATTGCAACACATCTTAACCATACCCAGACTCTCTGGACACCATTTCCCTCCAACTTGCGCTCCCAACACGGACTGGGTCCTCCCCATGGTGGCCCATCCTGGCTGACTGCTGCCAGCATAGCAGCCCGAGGGTGCTCCAGCATGGAAGGTGAGCAGGGTAGGTCATGGCTGGGGCTTAGATAACGGACCGCCTGGGGAGTCTGGTGGCTGGAGGCTTTTGGCCTCCTGCTCACTTCCCACATTCCCTTACTTTTGGCAACTCTTCCCATTGCCTTCTGACTGACTCCCCCTTTCTTGCCTACCTGCTCCCCAGCCTTGACCTGGGACTTCACCATGGGGGGTGGTTCCAGCAGCCCTCAGTCACCATAGCAGCCTGAGGGTGCCCCAGCCCAGAAGCTAAGCAGGGTTGGGGCTCGCTGGCACGTGGATATAGCACCACGTGGAAAGACCAAGCTGGAGGCTTTTGGCTTCCTGCTCTTTTCCCACTTTCCCCGCTTGTCGCAAAGGTTCTCAACCGGCCCTGACTCTCAGACTGCTATGGTGTTTGGGGGCTGCCTAAACAGAGCCCCACGGGGAGGTCCAGAACTGCAGCGGAGCGAAGGCAGGCAGGAAACAGGAGGTCAGGAAGTAAGGGTGCAGTTGGGAAGCACTGAGGCATGGAGGGAAAGTAGAAAGGGAACTGGAAGCCAAAAGCCTCCAGCCCACAGTATCCCAAGGTGGTTTTTAATACAAGCCACAGCAAGGCCTGACCCTGCTTGGCTTTTGGACTGGGGAGCCCTCAGCCTGCTATGTCGCCCAGTAGCTACTGAAATGGCATCGGGGAAGTCCTGGGCCACAGCAGGGGTGCATGGGGATGAAAAAGAAGGGGTCAGAGAGTCAGGGGTTAGTTGGGAAGCATTGTGACAAGCACAAGAAAGGAAGGGAGCAGGAAGCCAAAAGCTTCCAGGCCCTTATCTCCCCAGGAATTGCACCATCCAAGCCCCAGCCAGTCCCCATCTTGCTAAGCTCTGAGCTGGGGCTACCTCAAGGCTGCTATTAACTTGGCAGCTGCCATGATGGACCCCCATGGGGAGGTCTCTGGCCTCGGGGTGGGGGAGCAGGCATGCCGGAAAGGAAGGGCCAGAGAGTTAGCAGTTGGTTGAGAAGCGTCATGACAAGCAAAAAAACGGTGACGGAGTGGCAAACCAAAAGTGTGTAGCCCCTCGTCTCTTCAAGCACTCCCTCACCGAAGCCCAACTGATGCGGGACCCTGCTTAACTTCTAGGCTGGGGAGCCCTCAGGCTGCTATGACGCCCCAGTGTGAGGGGAAGCCATTCATTTCCTGCCTGTTGTTTGCTGGTAGGAAAAGTAAAATAAGCAAGAAGCTGAAGTCAGCAGTCAGGCGACTAGCTGATGCCAGCGGCCTTGCTGCAGTGAGGCCTGAGGGCTGGGAATATAACTCCCCTCCTGTAACTGGTGTCTACGTTATCTATAAACCTTGAAAATGTAGCAGAGGAATGCTCTTCCTCTGACCCAGGAACCTGTCCCAGTCACGTACTCCATGTTTGCGCAATCCAGACCCCCCCTTAGAATTGCATCTGCCACCAAGTGAGTCACTGCCTTTGTTCAGCTCCTGTAACCCTTCCCCTTCTTCCCTTCCCACATGCACCAAATATAAATTAGCAAATCAATGAAAGCCAAAGACTGTGAGGTCAGCTGTCTGGCCAATGGGCAATAACACAGTTTCACCTCTGCTCCCCTCTCAAAGTTGTAAGCCCTTGAAAAAAGGGAAAGGACCTGGTCTTTGGAGAGCTTGATTCTTAAGGCATGAGCCTGCTGCAGCTCCCAGCTGAATAAAAAGCCACTTCCTTTCTCGGTTTGGTGTTTGAGAGGTTTTGTCTGCTGCATGTCCTGCTACATTTTGGTTCCCTGATCGGGAAGCGAGTTTTCGGTTGGTGGACGGCTAGGACAGCCTCCCAGGCAGGTCTGCCCTGCCCTGCAGAGCATCCCCATGGGGGACTCCAGACCACTTGGGCAACGCAGTACTGAATGTGTGTTGAGTAGGCATTAGAGAGTCCTGGGTAGGCATTAGACCCAGTGGAACGCTTCGCCAGAGCACAGCAAGGCAGGCCCCGTGGTGGAGTGGTGCAAAGGCTGAACACAGAAGGAACTGGCGCTTGGAGTCCAGATGGTCTGGACATCAGAAACACGGTAGGATTAGTCCTGGGAAACTTGCCCGCCACTTTTGGGTGGAAGCATGGCCTGATCATCCATGACGTGCCAATCTGTCTTGGCACTTTGAACTTGATTTTTATCTCTTTGTAACTAACTGGTTTCAGTAATCTTGTTTTCACAGAGCTTGGGTGGTGGGAGGTATGTGCATGTGAACGAGTGCGAAGGGGCGCAATTGGTCTCATCAGCAGCAAAGTGTGGGGGCCGCAGTTCTGTTAGAGTGAGCTGTACGCTCTGAGCGAATTGTGGGGCCTGCTGGGACCAGGAGTGAGCTGCATAAGGCTGAAGGAGGTCCTCTCACAATCTAGGTATTGTGGGAGGAGTGACGAACTCTCCAATGTCAAGCAGTGTCTGAAACACTCCTGTGAGGGAAATGGCCCTGCGGGTCAAAAGTTAGTGAACAGAAAGAGTGGTGTGCTGTAATAGGCGGGAGGAGTGCAGAGTTGTAACATCGGACAAAGTCAGTGAGCAGCCCCTCTACCTCGTGGGAGTGCTGTTCTCACCCTAACAGAGGGAGATGGGTAAGATGCAGAGTAAACCCACTCCATTAGGAACTATGCTAAAGAATTCCAAGAAGGGATATAGTGGAAATTATGGCATCACCGTAACGCCAGGGAAACTCAGAACACTGTGTGAAGTAGACTGGCCCACAGAAGAAAGCCTGGATAGGTCTCTTGTCTCCAAAGCATGGCATAAGGTTACAGGCAAGCCAGGACGTCCAGACCAGTTCCCCTACATCAATAGCTGACCATAGCTAGTGTTTCCCACTCCCCGCCGCAGTGGTTGAGAGGTCAAGCTGCACCAGTGCTTATGGCAAACGAAAAGGTAAAAAGGAAAATCAGTGATTACCAGAGTTAAACTGCTAACCCTGAGGACAAGGGAGAGCTGGCTGCGCAGCTGTGTGTGGGAGCTGCCAGGTTCGACAGCTAAGATAGGGCAAACGGGCCGGGCGCGGTGGCTCACGCCTGTAATCCCAGCACTGTGGGAGGCCGGGGCGGGTGGATCACGAGGTCAAGAGATCGAGACCATCCTGGTCAACATGGTGAAACCCCGTCTCTACTAAAAATACAAAAAATTAGCTGGGCATGGTGGTGCGTGCCTGTAATCCCAGCGACTCAGGAGGCTGGGGCAGGAGAATTGCCTGAACCCGGGAGGCGGAGGTTGCGGTGAGCCGAGATCGCGCCATTGCACTCCAGCCTGGGTAACAAGAGCGAAACTCCGTCTCAAAAAAAAAAAAAAAGGGCAAACGGTGTAACACTGCTAAGCTAGTGTAACAGCAAGTGAAACTGCAAACTTAATCAAAAACAAAAAGAGAGAAAGAGAAAGAGGGAGCACTTGGTGGTGACCCAACCCGTAGCCCCTTTGTCCAGCAAGACAATAGATAACTGGGGCCACTGGAGTTTCAGAGAAGCAGCTTTTTGCCTACCACGGATCTGTTCAGTGGGAGGCCACAAGATTATACATCAGTTCTTGTACATGCTGGACTGCCCTCTATCCCTCTTGGGAAGAAACTTGTTAAGCATACTAAAAGCTGCTATCAGGTTCACTAATAAGGGCTCCCTGCAGCTCAAACTGCCTAAGGCATGGATTATCACGGCTCTCACAGTCCCTTGGGAGGAGGAGTAGAGACTCTTCCTGACTGAGCCGGGTTGAGAATTAACCGCTGTGCTGGCCAAGGGATGGCCATGAGTCTGGGCAGAAGACAACCCTCCAGGTTGGCAGTAAGCCAAGCCCCGGTGGTTATCAAAGTAAACCCAGGGGTATTCCTAGTCAGACAAAAGCAGTACCAGGTTCCAAGGGAAGCTCTTAAGGACATCCAGGTCCATCTCAGACACCTGAAAGCCTATGGTATTATAGTACCTTGCCAGTCTCTTTGGAACATGCCTCTCCTGTCCATCCGCAAGACGGGGACCAAGGACTACTGACCAGTGCAGGACCTGTGCTTGGTCAACCAAGCAACTATGACCTTGCACCTCACTGTGCCCGCTCCCTATACGTTGCTAGGGAAGGTTGAGGGTGTTCCTGCGTGTGTCCATCACAGCCATGTGAAACCTGCAGCACCAGACACCTGGGAAATAAAGCCAGATCTCCGTAACCCATGCAAGATCACCTTAAGGAGAGCTGAGACAGCAAGCCCTGCTCCAGTCACACCCCGGAAGCTGACTGGTCTACGCTCGGCCGAAGCATGAAGACTTCCAGTGTGGGACCAACATTCCATTCTTCAAACTATGGACTTGTGCCCGTATACATCAGATCACCAAGGTAGGGAAAAAAAATTACTATGGTCCTGCTTTTCTATAGCTATTATAAATGCAAGGAAACCCTAAAAGGAACATGCTTATATAATGCTACTCAGTGTAAGGTGCGTAGTCCCGGTGATGGGCAGCCTATGTTTGTTACAAACCCTCTACACTTTCCTTATTTTGGCTACCTATAAAAACTGGGGAATTACTGCTTTTCCCTGTTTATACCTCTTGGGATAAATAAAGCCTAGCCATAGGCAATTTCAAAAAAGATAGTGGCCTCCCAAGATACTAATACAGTACTGTGGAACTGCCACCTGGGCGGAGGAAGGCTCATGGGGTAACCGTACCCCAATTTACATGCTCAGTGGAATCATTCAATTATAAGCTGTCTTGAAGGTAACAACCAATAACACTGACAAAGCTTTAACTTTTCTAGCTCAACAGATAAAAATGCAGATAAAAAAATGCTATATATCAAAATCAGCTGGCCTTAAACTACCTACTGGCAGCCAAGGGAAGGGAGGGGTATGTGGAAAATTCAACTTAACTAATTATCTGCAAATAAATAATCAAGGTCAGGTAGTTAAAAACATTGCAAAGGACACGTCAAAATTGGCACATGTGCCAGTGCAGGTTTACCATAAATTTAATCTTAGGTCTATGTTTGGACAATGGTTTCCAGCTATGGGAGGATTCAAAACCCTCATCATAGGTATGCTGCTAATAATTGGGACATGCTTGCTCCTTCCTTAATTGTTAGCCTTGTTTCTGCAAATAATGAAAACCTCTATTACTGTGGTCCAGCAAAAGACCTTGGCACAGGTGTACTATATGAATCACTATCCGTCAGTTCCATGGGAGAACCCAGACAGTGATAATAAAGGTGAGAACTCCCACTAAAGGCGTAGTGAGAGTCGCAAAGGGGGGAACGTGAGGGAAAGCCATTTATTTCCTGCCTGTTGCTTACTGGCAGAAAAAGTAAAACAGCAAGAAGCTGACCTCTCCTTTGCAGTCCACATTCAGAAGGTCTCATTTCCATTTCCAGTTACATAAGTATCAGAGTCCCAGTGTGGATACAAAGTCTTCCAGAAATGGGAAACCCAGATTCGCTAGTCAAGCTGCCCCTCGCAGATGAACTAAAAATAATAATTAGTAAAGCATTAGCAGTATACTGGCTGAAAGCGCAGGCTTTCATTCAGACAGACTGGAGTTTGAATCCTGGCTTTTCTACCATGAGATGTCGGGTGAGTGAATTAACAACCTCTTTGGTCCTTTGATGTCTTCACTTACAGTCCAAAGGTAGGAATAGTACCTACCTCATACGGCTGCTTTGAGGATTAGGTGAGATCATGCTTAGAAGATATTAAGCACTAGAAAGCACTGGAAATTGCTAGCTATTATTCTCATATAACTCTCATAATTACCGTCATTTGACTCACAAATTGCCTGAAATCCATATGGTCACTGTGGCAGATTCCACGGATGGGTCCACACAACATCTGCTTTAACCATTTCTAAAACCTACAGTGCCTGGACTCTTTTGTAGCTAGGGTTCTGCCTATGACCCAGTTCTGCCCAGCAGATGCCTATGTGCTCCAGGAAGATGGCAGTCATTTAAGTGAAGTGGCAGCACATGTAGGTGGGTCCGTCTTTTCACAGACATGGCTGTGAAGGAGCTCTGAGAGAAGCTCCAGCGTCTGGCCCCTAGCATCACAGGTACTGACTGGTGAGCAGCAGCAGTGCGGCTTCTGTGAGAACAGTCCTGTTCATGGCTGGGCATTCCTGCTGGGGTTGTTTCTGGCTGTGCGTTATCCTAGCTGTTTCTCTGACACTGCTGGAAATCCTGTAAGCTACCTAATACCCTGCTGTCGTCCCTTTCTATTGAAACTAGCTAGAGTGAATTCTGTGGTCTGCAACTAAGAACACAGTAATTATCAAAACAATCAACACGGTAATTATCAGAATAATCCTTATTACTATAGCATAAACATTTCTTTACTAGTCATATTCAGCTTACTAAGGGATAAATAAAAGTATGTACAAAAACCTTGCCCTTGCCTTCCAAATGCATTTATTCTAAAATATACTACGTGACTGGCAACCTGTTGTGTTTTTTAAAAAAGGCTTTATTGTCTGTGGCAGCAGAAAGCCTTTTCTGAGGAACTAGCGGAATGAGCTGATTGAACTTGAATCCTTACAGAAAAGAATCCTCACTTGGGTCTTTACTGAGGATGACAGGTGCGCCTACCTGGCACAGTGTTCTCTGGAAATTATCATGGGAGAGTTGAAAGGTGCACCAGAAAGCCAGTTTATATGTATAAGTACTTGGGTCAGGATGTCGCATATAGTCATTAATGTACTTACTTATAGGATGGTACCCAGGGATGTGCTCACTTACAATGAGAAGAATGCCTTGAAAGAAGTAATTAACAAGAGCATTGAGATATCTCTCCAGACAGATTTTGAATTAATGAAAAATGACTGTGTGATGGGTACAGCCCTGGGTGAAGTGTGGCTTCAGTTTTACCAGTTTCTTATCTGTTTTCATTGTCATTAGTAGCTTTAAAAATATAACGTCAAATTCTTTCTCCTTACAAAGACTGCTCCTTTTTTTCAGACAGGCTCTCACCCTGTGGCCCAGGTTGGAGTGCAATGGTGTGATCTCGGCTCACAGCAACCTCCACCTCCCAGGTTCAAGCAACTCTCCCACTTCAGCCTCCTGAGTAGCTGGGGCCACAAGCGTGCACCACCACACCCAGATAATTTTTTTGTGCTTTTAGTAGAGATGGGGTTTTACCAAGTTGCCCAGGCTGGTCTTGAACTCCTGGCCTCAAGTGATCTGCCTGCCTTGGCCTCCCAAAGTGCTGGGATTACAGGTATGAGCCACTGCACCTAGCCACAAAGATCGCTCTTACGGTGTGTTTTTTGAGTAACTGTGGCCCCACTGGCAACTCTCTTGTCATTTTTATTCAATGCCTAGTTTCCCATTTTCTCCCTTATATGCTTCTGGCAAAATATAATGACCTGTTCAAAGCATATCAGAGAACTTGTCACAATGCTAATAGGCAGAACGGTTAAGTGCTTAAGGTATTGTCTGTCTTCTTCAGTGAAAGAACACAGAAAATGCTGACCTCTGGCTTAGTCTGTCAGTTGGCATATTAGTTTCCTGTGGCTGCTGTAACAAAATGTCACAAATTTAGTGGCTTAAAATAACACAAATGTGGGTGGGTGCAGTGGCTCACACCTGTAATCTCAACACTTTGGGAGGCCAAGGCCGGTGGATCACCTGAGGTCAGGAGCTCGAGACCAGCCTGATCAACATGGAGAAATCTTGTCTCTACTAAAAATACAAAATTAGCCGGGCTTTATGGTGCATGCCTGTAATCCCAGCTATTCTGGAGGCTGAGGCAGGAGAATCACTTGAACCCGGGAGGCAGAGGTTGTGGTGACCCAAGATTGCGCTATTACATTCCAACCTGGGCAACAAAAGCAAAAGTCTGTCTAAAAAAAAAAAAAAAAAAAAAAAAGGGAAAAAACAACACAAATGTATTATCTTACAGTTCCAGAGGCCAGAAGTCCAACATCAGTTTCACTGAGATTTAGCCAAGTGTTTGCAGAAAAGGCTCATTCTGGAGGCTTCAGAACAGAATACATTTTCTTGCCTTTTTCAGCTTTGCGGGCTGCCTGCAGCCCCTGCCTCACGGCCCCCGCCTCACATCACCCCAGCCTCCTGTTTCCATGGTCACATCTCCTACTACTTACTCTGACCCTCCTGCCCCTTCTTATAAGGACCTTTGTGATTACACTGGGCCCACACGGATAATTCAGGATTGTCTTTCCATCTCAAGATCCTTAATTTAAATCATCACATCTTCAAAGTCCCTTTTGTCACATAAGCTGATATTCACAGGTTCTGGGGACTAGGGATTACTCAGCCTACTGCAGGTGTCAGGAAAGCGAGTTCTAGCTTCCAAAGCCAATGAGGACTTACTAGAAGGTTACATAGAGAAAATAGTAGGAAATCAAGAAAACCAACAGGCATTGAGATACAAGGCAAATACCTGGGTATTTACTGTCTTCTCAGCAGAAGGTGCCTTTTGCTGCAGACTCTAGACTTCTCTCTTTATTGTGACTGTCTTGACTTCCTCTTATGTCTGACTGATGACTCTGGTATCTCTAGCAGTCAAACTGGGTCAGCGAGAACTGTTCTGTAGAGGGCACCCTTTTCCTGCCAGTCTCTTGCATGAGGACATCTCATTGGCTGTGTCTAACCTACAGATGGCAGCTTTTGAATCAGTCACTAATCCTTGGTCCACTCAGCTTCGGCCAGGAAAGCTGGGCCACAAGATGCAAAAGGTGTACAGGAACCACGGGCCTTTGTCTTTGAAAGGCGCTGGGAAGTGGCAAGCATTCCGTGATTGTTAGACTCTTCTCCAAAACACTGTCAGTGACTGCAGAGTTTGAGCAAAATTTTTTGCTTCCTGATTTTTGAAACTGGGATGTTTATAGGTGCTTGTTACGAGTGGATTTTGATTAATGTTTATAAAGTATAGTATTCTGGCTGGGCATGGTGGCTCACGGCTGTAATCCCAGCACTTTTGGGGTCGAGGCTGGCGGATCATGAGTTCAAGAGATCGAGACCATACTGGCCAACATGGTGAAACCCATCTCTACCAAAAATACAAAAATTAGCCGGGTGTGGTGGCGCACACCTATAGTCTCAGCTACTTGGGAGACTGAGGCAGGAGAACTGCTTGAATCCAGGAGGCGGAGGTTGCCGTGAGCTGAGATCGTGCCACTGCACTCTAGCCTGGTGACAGAGTGAGACTCTGTCTCAAAAAAA